TTATCATGGACGGATTAATGGAAATATTAATATCCATTTATTTGAACCAAAAATCTGAGAAAAAGTTTGTTTATTTTTAAAAATCATTTTCTTTTCTTCATAATATGTTTGTCCATTCAATGATCTTTTCATTATTTGATAAAATAATTTACTTATAAATATTATATCAAAATACACAAGATAATGATGAAAACAAATAAATGCTTGCCATTTTGTTTTAATGAAACCAATTAAATAACCAATATTAAAAAATAAAATTTTAAAAATATTTAAAATATGAAATCCATCTATTTCATTCCATAAATAATTAAAAACAAATATATAACCAATAAAATGTGCACATAAAAGATGAAAAAGCATTAAAAGAAAATATCGTTGATTATGTTTACCAATACATGTACCAACAAAAAAACAATGATGATCTTGTATTGGTATACATAATTGACATAAATTACAATGATGTGATCGTTCTCGACTATAATTTAAACATTTACGACAATATCGATCGATTTTTTCTTCATTACACAATGATATAGAAGAAAATGTTGTAAGAATTAAATTAAGATAAGCTTGTAAAAAGAAATATAAAAAAATGATATTAAAAATGAAATATGTAAAATTCGATAATCGATTTTGTTCACGATACGTTGGTACAACAATAAAATAAATAAAATAAAGTGCATAAATTAACCCTAGATAAGCATAGAACCACGCTATACGATTTAAAGAACGCAAGAGAAAAATTTTCATCTAGAATAAATCAAGGTCATGTTTAGGACATATTATTTACCACCGGTTATTTGTTATTTTTTTTCGAAAACAATATAATTATCTTGTTATGAATTTTTAATATTCATATTTACTTGTTCAAGTGCATTAATTAATAATTGAAATTGTTGATTTTCATCAGTTCCTATTAGATTTAATTTAAATTCATTTTGAATTTTTTCTAATTGTTTTTGTTCATCACCATCTGATACAATTGTTAATGAACATCCGTATGCACCAAAACGACCAGCACGACCAATACGATGTAAATATGTTTCACTATCATTAGGTAAATCCATTGATATAACAAAATCAACAAAATCTAAATCAATTCCACGTGATGTTAAATCAGTTGTAACTAATATTTGACATTTATGTTTATACATATCACGCATAGCTTTTGTTCGACGATTTTGTGTTAATGAACTTGATGTATATGTTGTTTCATAACCTAAAGATTTTAAACGTTCACAAATAGCTGATGAACGCATACGAAGATTTGAAAAAATTAAACATTGACGAAATTTTAATTGAGGTAATATACGTAATAATAAAAGAACTTTTTGTTCAAATAAATATGAATCTATTGGATGATATGGAATTATAATATAAAATTGTTGAATACCAATTAAACTTGGTGATTCAGAATCAACTAAACGTATACATGTCATATCACGCATATAACGTTCAGAAAAACGAATCATATATTCAGGATATGTTGCTGATGCTAATAGAACTTGTTTATTAGATGGCATATATGAAAATATTGAATTAATTTGATCCTTAAGAATAAAAAAAGCAAATAAATATTTTTCATATATAAATAGTTTGCAAAAATACAGTGCGCCTCTATTGAAATTTCCTCTTTGTTTTTCTTGTTTTAGACGATTGTATTTTGATTTTTTTTTTCGGTAACATCAATAACTATACACCAGAAAAAAGAAGTTGGTAGAGTTTTTTCAATATAAGGTGCAGTGAGAGTAAATCGAGTTTTGTCTGACCTGTTTTTCGTTACCGATGAACGTATACAGGTCATTTCAGGCAAAACACAACATACCCATAGAGAGCCCGTCGGATTCAGGACCAACTCAATAGGCTCTGCATACACACCTTTCATTTGACTTTGGTTTTTCACAAGCGTAATTTTTCTGAGTAAGTTATTTTAGTATAGACATGCGTAAAAATGTTGGCTGTTTCAGTTGATAATTAAAAAGTGATTAGCTAATATCTCTCTAATCTTAATTCTAAAAGACTTCCTCTTAAAAATTAGTTTTCTAGAGATTTTGAAGAAGAATTTGTATCGTTACATGTAACATATAGAAATTAGCTCTAGGAAAAAAATAAACGAGAGACAAAAAGACAATTTATTCTTACGGTTTTAAACCTTATGTGTTATGCATGATTAATATATGAAGCGATGCAGTAAAGTCTATACTCTCTTGCTCTATACCAGTTATTGAAAAAAAAAACCTGACAAAATACAGTAGTCTTAAACAAGAAAAACAAACGGAGGAAATTCAATTAATGCGCACTATAATTTAAAGTTCTCGCTGTGTTATTATTTTAGAATTTCCAAAATTTATTTTAGTAGAAATAATCAATATAGGCACATATTTTACTGGCGGATTACTCATTGGTTGAGGTTCCTAGGCGAAACACTCTATTTCTGAATCAATGTATCTTCGTACTACATCATTCTTCTTATAAAAGATGTGTGAAATTTGTGAAGAAGTTAGTAAAAAATATGAATTATAGGTTTTCAACTAAACTCGAGTTCATCAGATTTAAAATTAATAATCAACCGATAGTTTCGTGTATTTAGTAAATAAAAGTTCTTCCACTAATCTGTATACTTTTAATGAATCTTCATAATTTTATGTTAGAAAAAAAAAAGAAAGACTAAGGAAATATTGTCTCCTAAGTAAACATATTCTTGAAATACCCTACATAATGAAAAGTCGTTAAGTTTCTTAACAAATTGTTTTTTTGAATTATTCTTTTTCCTATAAACTTTTCTTCAATAGCCATGTCTTATACTTTTGTAAATGACATATTTCAAATGGAATATTATATTGAAGTCAGAGGTAGAATCTCTGCTCTCCTACAGACCTTTAAGTTGCACTGGCAAGTTTTCTGAAACTTACATATGTTTTCGAAAAAAAGAAAATACAGACTAATACATTTTGTATCTCAAAATTATACACCTTTTGAAAAATCTGGTCAGCTAAGAGAGAAAGAGACCGAGTCTGCTACTCCAAAATACTGACTCTACTACTGATTTTAGCGTATTAAAGAAACATGTTATTGTCTAAGCTAGCAAAAACAAAAATAAACAACGAGTAGCGATCTACATGTTCGATACTTTTTGACTTCAGAAAGGAATATCTACAGGGTTCTAGAGGAAAAACTTCCTTTATATGATAGATTAAGTTCTACTGCTTGCCGTTGATAAGTGGCTTGACTTTCCATTATGGTCACGGTGAAGGTAACACCACCTATCAACGGCAAGCAGTAGAACTTGATAATGTAAATACTACAATCCTACATATATTCTGTTCTGTAATCAAATCCATATAGTTGCCTTTCTATTTTTAGAACGAAATGTTGATTTAAAATTTTTAAAAATGTATAAAAACGAAATAATTACTTGAAATTCTTTACATAATAGTGCATCTGCTTCGTCTAAAACAAGTAATCGAATTGTATCAGGTCGAAGATATTTTAATCGAAGTAATTCTTCAATTCTTCCTGGTGTACCAACAACAATATGACATTTTTTTAAATGATTTTGATCATCTTTTAATGCTGTACCACCAATAAATGTATGTACAATACATTCAGGTTGTTTTATTGTTTTAATTACTTGAACAATTTGTTGTGCTATTTCACGTGTGGGTGCAAGTATAATTACTTTTGTTTTTATTACAGTTAAATCTTCATCATCATCAATAGTTTGTACAAATTCAAGAGCTGTTATACTAAAAACAAGTGTTTTACCAGTACCAGATTTTGCTTGTATAAGAAGATCAAGTCCAAGAAGTGCTAATGGTAATGCTTGTAATTGAATTGGTGATGGTTTAATAAAACCAGCTTTTTTAAGTGAATTAAGTGTTAATTCTGAAATAGCCAAATCTTCAAACGTAACATTTTCATCTGTTTTAACATCATTTGTTATACCTCTTTCAGCCATTTAAACTAGATGAAAAAAAGATAAAAATAAGACGAATGAAATATCTGGAAAAAGATAATTTCTATAATGATTACCTATAAAATCATTGATTTCATTTTAAAATATAAATTAAAGCTAAATTTATTTCTTCTACCTGATATATATATATATACATATATAATTAAAAATAACAAATTCGAATGAATAGAAAAAAAAGTGCTTTTAGTCGCATGAATAAATTTTTTTTTTTTGGTTTTTCTTTGAGCAAAATATTTTGTACATTAAAATATTTTATAGCGTACATATGTATCACAGAAAACAAACTGTTTTTAAAATATTAAAATATGAAAAGTACATAACAAAGTATAAATAGAAAAAATCACAATAATCTATAATTTTAGTCAAGAATAATAACACTCGGTGTTGAAGATACTTTTGATTTTGATGATGTTAATGAATTATTATTTCTATCAATTGTTGATGATGATGATGATGATGAAGAATTGATATGTTGTAATGATCTAGTTACAATACAATGAATTGGTTCAGGATCTAAATGAATACAAAAAAAAGAAAAGCATGACATGATATCACAAATAAAGAATGTTTGTAGAATTATGTGTTGTTAGATTTTTTTTTTTTATGAAACTACTTTTATGATGAACGAGACAATTTTAAATTAATGTGTTGCATAATATATATTGATTGTAATTCATTATGATGCATGCAAAGACAAAATAAATTCAGGGATGTAACGTATTCATTCATATCAATTCAACAGCTATAACTCCTAAGAAAGAGCTGTTTTCTTATTTTGTTGTTCAAAAAAAAAACGAAATTTTCAGAAGTAGGAAGGGAGCGTAACGGCTCACTCGCTCCCTTGCTACGCTCCTGGATAAATTACCAACAGAATCTCAAGGGTTCAACTATCACTGGTCGTCTTTTTTTTCAACCGAATTTTTTCTCTTATCAATGCAACGTTTGTATAAGATAAGGATGCAATCGTGACCATGGTTACCGATCTTAGGGGTAGAACGCTACACTAGTCTAGATATGCACGTAAAGAATAACAGTGAACGCATGATAAAATTACGTTGATCTTGGATTCATTACAACTTTTTCGTTAGCTGAAAGTAAAATGAATTGTTTTTTCGAACGAGAAAATCAATCTCAAGAATTTCGACAAAATCTTCTATTTCTGAACGCTGAAAACTTTCGGTCTATTTTTATAAAATTCAGCTAGTTTCTTGAAATGGCCGTCCTGGCAAAAAAAAACGAAATCAGTTTAAGACCACCAGTTTTATCATGCGTTCACCGTTAGTCAATTTGTACATGTTTAGATCAGTGTACAGCTGTATGTAAGATCGATGCACCTCTACTAAAATCCGTCGGATCCAAAATTTTCAGACCCGAACTAATCCGACGACATTTAACCGCCACCAGTGCATCCATAATATAGGAAAGTCATCTAACTTTGTCTAATGGAAAGTTTAAATAAATTCTTTTTTTTTCCGATTTTGTTTAAATTTAAGAAAAATATCGAACAGAATTCATCACTGTTTCTTGAATTGGCATTTCTATTTTATTGACTTATTTTTTTTTACTTAGTTTTAATGAAAATTACAAGCAAGCAAATCGATAGTATTCAAATGATTACTTCTTGAGAAAATTCAATCCAATTCTTACTTCCTAATGGAATGGATGATGAAATTATGTTATTCTTTTTTAATGGATTTGCAGTCGTATCAGTTGTTCGTGGCAGAGGTTCTAAAATAATAAATATCAAAACAAAAAAGAACTGTTATGTCCGTTAAAAACAATAAAACAATAATTTACTAATAGTTCCTTTTAAAAATCGATGTGTATTATCATATGATATTGGTAATTTATTAAGTGTTGTTTGTATAAAACTTGAATCTGCATTTGTTATTGATGTATGTAATGAAGTTATAATTTTTTGTTCATTTTTTTGTGTTTCTGATGATGATAAAATAAAAATATGTTGATTATTTGTACGTACGAAATATTCAGAAGCATTTTGTTCATTTTGTGCAATTGTTTTATCATATTTATTATTTAATTTTAATGAATTCATTAATATATTAAGATCATCAGTTGGAAATATTAAATTGATAATATTATTTGGTAGTAAACATAGAAGACTATTTGAATCTCTAGAATTATTTATAATAGAAATTTTAATTATTTTTTTAAATAGAATTTTTCTATCTAGAATTTTAATTAGATAGAGTACAAAAATAACTCTCAATGAATATACTTTCTCGACAAATATTGGCAAATCTAATGAAGGAAGTTTTTCAATTGATTAATTGCTTTGGAGTACGAACTATGTGCATCATGTAGAGTCAAGAATACCTAGAAAAGAGTTCGAGTTCTTAGCTTATTGCTGCTGAAATATTACATTTTTTAAGTTAACGTCGTTGCCCACTTGGGAACACTAGTAGAAACAATGAAAATATCTAAAACTTTTATAATAAACTATTCTCGAAGAGTTCAGTCTCTATGGAAAATTTCAAGTAGAAATTCAAAAATGAGTTTTTCTAGTGTTTTTGAGGAGAATCGTGGCATTCTGCTAAAAAATACAGTATCTCAGTAGTAATAAGCTATTGACCCGAACTCTTTTCAGTGTATTCACAGCACATTAGAATCTAAAGTAGTCCCCGAAATAGAAGGCGCCTCGAGAAGGATCAATGTAAAATACGTATGAGACGTCGCAGGATTTCTATTGTGTCTACACAATTTCAGTTTTTCAAACAAAGCTTAGCAGATACTCTTAAATTAGTTTTGATCGAGCGTCGTCTGCATATAAAAAAAGTTTCTTCAGGCGGCAAAACCTCATGATTAAGAAGAATTTTTAGAACTCATATTCATTTTTTCGTCGAGGTCTGAGATCATAGTCACTATATACTTTGCAATTCCCACTTTGTCTGGAAACAGGTATTTGACCATCATCACAAATTAACAAACTCATATTTCTTCAGCTCGTAATATCATGACATTGTTTGTCGGTAATATTGACACTCATCCACATCCTCAAGTTTTAAGGCCATCCGCTACCCATTAAAAAGTGTCAATTTTCGTCAAAAAAAAATAAAAACTGAAATAAATGCATGAAAAGATAGCCAGAGATCTGATCTTTGATTCTTATTTATTGAATATCACTCAAAAACATTATGACCTAGTGCTGAAAATTTCATACGATTTCAATGTACTTGACTCCAAGATCGAACAGTTTCATTTTTTTTCAGATGATTGAAAAAACAAATCTTTTTCTACTTTTATCTGAGAACTCTTAAATCAAGAATCAGTAAAAAAGACTTGAATTATATCTAACCTGTTTTCTTCCATATCCACAACATCATTAACAATTGTTTTCAAACATTTTGTTACTTCTTCAACCAATCTGAATATTTTGCTTTTCGGTTGAAATTTTCGTCTTTTTAATATTCCTTGTGTTTTACACATACGTCTAATAGTATGCTCTCGACATATACTATATTCTATTGTTAATGAATGTAAACATAATGGATTTTTATTTGAAAAACAACGACGATGTTTCATTAAAACATATGTATGTGTTTGTTTTTCTGTAACTGTGGAATGCTTTGTTACTGATGATGATGATGATGATGACGATGGTTGAGACTTAGTATCATGTTTTTCTGATAAAAGTACAATATCACTATCTTCAGTTTTTGATTGAATAGGAGTTTTTTTCTTTGGAGGTTTACGTTTAGGTTTTTGATTATTATTTATTATTGATGAATTATTAAGTTGTTCATCAGTATGTGTTATTGTTGATGATATTATTGGAGTTGTTCTTTTTGGTTGTGATGAATCCATACATAAAGCAAATGTTCCATCTTGACAACGTGTAACATAGAGTAAATCTAATTTTTTTGGATCAAAATTATCATCATTAAAATTTGAATGATGTTTTTCAAATATATGTTGATATAAATTATGATGTGAATATGTATAAAATGAACATTGATGACAAAAAAATATATGAGTAAAAAGATGTTGAAGAAGTATTGAACTACAAAAAACAAAAAAAAATTAATTCAACAACAATACGAAAAAAAAAAGATTAACAAACCTTGTAACGGTTTTAAATTTACAGATATTACATTGATAACATTTTGAATCAAAAAATGCTGATAAAGTACCATTACCATTAAGTGCTTGACGACGAATTTCTGATGTGGATGTTGATGTTGTTGTTGTTGTTGCTAATATTGGAGCAGAAGATTGTGTATGAAATGCTGGTGAGAATAGAGGATCAGCTCGATGAGTAACTATTACAGGTTGTGATGGTATCTAAATTAGAATTTTCTTCATTTGCAAGAATAGTTTTAATAATATAATTTTCTATAGAGATGCTGAAAAATAGAATGTATGTGTCAGAACGAAGTAGAACCCAATGCAATCTTTCTTATGATGTGTTATGAAATTCATTCTAATCAAATATTTTGACACAAAAATTAAGCCGAAAATATTGTTTATTTCATGCAATATATCAGAAAATAAAAATGTCTATTCAAATTTTGGCATTTCAATAATGATGTATTATTCATTTCTTTTTTTAAATCAAAATAAATGAGCGGCATGAAAAAAAACATGCTTTTACCATAAACTATCCTCATTAGTACGTGTCTTTCTCGGTAGTCATAAGCTATTAGTGCGATCTATTTTCAGGATATTTATAATATTATGATAAACTACGTGATACACATAGGGCTAACTCAAAAAGCAATTTGACAAATAGAAACGTTTCCTTGTAAGTTTTTTCGTCAACTTATATGATTTTTACTGTGAGCTCGAAAACCGTTATTTTTGTAAAATTTGAAAAAAGAAATAATTTATATACATAATAGGTATTGATAGAAAAATTTTACAAGCATAGTTAAAAGATAGAGCTTTTCAAGCGCTACAAGATGTTTCATTAGTTTAAAACTCCAACGAATATATATACCCATCTTGAAGCGTTTTCAAAGAGTTTCCGCCCCTTTTACAGACGTGTTCAGTGGGCTGAGTCTTCCTATATAACTTTTCGGTTGTGCCGGTAGCACACCTGTTAAAAGTTGTCAACATTTCATTAGCGACGGAAAGTGCTTTCATCTTCGAAGTACTAGAACTGATTACTGGGAAGTTGGCGAAGAACGAAATCCATCGTAACTCTATATATTTAACAACATGGTCTACTTATTTTTATTTCATCTTCTGTCAGAAAAAAGCAAATGGTATGAGGCCTTCATCTCTCTCTAATTGAAAAACTCTGCACCTGTTATACAGATATATTACAATGCTATTCTATTTAATTATAGTCGATATTTATTTTTAAATACAAATAATCTGGATTCAAGTTTAGTAGAAAAAAACGACTAATATACTTATGTGATTATATGAATGAAGCCATCATAACAAATAGAACTAGTTTAATATAGAACTATATTTTTTCGACAAAAAGAAAAAATTATTCAATTGAATGAAAAAATTGTCTAATTTAAATTTATACAATTTTGTATAATACTAACTATATTTCAAAGAAATTGAAAGAAAGCCTTTAGAGTAAATCAAAGAATAGTACAGTTATCGAGTAAATATACATAATATGAATATTAATTTAATATATTTATTATTAGAATAAATTTCATAATGTTGTTGTTTTTCAGAAATTAATAAATAATTGTATTTTATTTATTCTAAATATATAATTTTCGTAATTATTACGGTCATGATTTTTATCGATTTCAGTCAGCCATGATAAAACTAATGTTTATTTTTCGTCCTACGCAAAAAATTATTGTTTGATACTCAAGGTGACATGTGTAGCATTATTTTTGTATATTATATGATTGATATGACCGTAAAAGAATAAAAACGACGTGATTGAAGCCACGTGATAAATGTAATCATCTCCTATTTCATTCGTATATCGATTCGCTTCATTTAATCGTAAAAAACATCACAAAAAAAAAGTCGCCTATACAAATAATCCTCAATAGCATACTATTTACAACAAAATATCTATAGACAACTGTCATATCAAATAAAATATAATTTGAAAAGAACTTACATTAACAGAATGTGAATAAGGAACTCGAAGGATTTTTCCTGATTGAACACGTTGTGCAGAAGGTCGAGTAAATGCTGATGTTGATGTAGGTAATGGTAACGGTAATGGTGGTGATGAATTTGAAGATATTGGAATATTTGTTGTTTTTCTTTGTGCGTGTTGTATATATCTATCATTTTGATGAATTCTTGGAATCAATGGAACTGTATCAGACGGATCTAAATGATGTTTTGTAACATTTATAGCAGTAGCTAAAGGTTGTATTGAAGTTCGAGATAATGTTTGAATTGGATGTACATATGTTCTTGTAGATGAAGGTGTTTCAGTTGTCCAATCAAAAGCAAAAAATGAATGAGATTCATGGTGTTCTTGAATAGATTCATCTGGATCAATAATTATTGTTTCAGGTTCTTGATTAATGAATGTTTTTGTTATACGTTGTTGTTGTTGTTGTCGTTGATGATGATGATGATTATCATTTCGTTGTCGTTTTGACCAATTAATTGTTGATGGATTAATATGAACATTTTTATTTGTTATTTTTCGTTTTTTATGTGGTAAATTTTCATTTATTGTAGTTTTATATGAATTACCATATGACATATTTAGATTAATTTGAGTATCATCATCATCATCTGTTAAATAGAGGATGGGTGGTGAAAATGGAGATTCCATAATTTATTTAGACACTATACACCTATGTTGAATTTCTTTTACACTTTTAATATATAATATACAAAATAGAAAACAACACACAAAAATAAAGCCAACATAAGACACATATATGAGCGCTACTAGCATATTTAATTTCATATTATTTGTAGCGCAATAAAAACAAAAAATATTCTATGATTGGTTGAAATAAAAATTTCGATTTATAGTATTATGATGATAATGAATGTATTTAGAGGGCTGTCAGCGTTTATATTCTTTCAGTTCGATTTTAGCAAAAAGAAGAAAGAAGGAGGTTCGTCAAGTGATGAAAATGGACTCCTCCCAAAATTGAGTTTATTATTTTCGCAATAGTCAATTCGAATGTCACAAGTCAATTGCTATTCGAATTACACTTCATTGTAGCTGCTCGCGACTAGATCAAAATTTGATACTATCTATCTTTGATAGATTCATGCTAATGAAGCATTGTGTTTGTTTTTAGATGATGGTGTTCATTCGTATGTGCACTCTGAGGATAGCCATAGCACAATTGATTTGGCCCCGCGCAGTCAAACTGAAATCTAATTCGAATTGACCATTGGAGAAATAAAAAATTCAATTTTAGGACAGGATTGATTTTATTGCTTAATGACTCTCGTCCTTTGTTATTTGCGTTAGAAGAAATGAACGAAATAGAATGAAATGATTTACAATTATAAAAATTTCTATTTTTAATATTGGCACTCGTGTTGGTTTAGCTATAACACGATAAAGTTGGAATTTTATCGTATATCAAATTCGTTTATTAAATAAAACATTGTTGCCGTTGATTCTGTTTCTCCAAGTGGATTTTTTTTTGTATCAGTGAATCAGATGTATTCAAAAAATCAGAAACATCAACCGGCTTGCAAGCCAGAAAAAAATGTGATTTGTTGGCAGTTCTGATCTGTAATGAACAGATCATTGTAAAGATAAAATTTTTAAGCTGAATATCAATTTTCATTATTTCTTTGATCTTTTGTGAAACAGCGTGCTATAATTGTTAGACAAATTGTTCAATATTAAATGTTTGTTTACGAAATTTTTTAAAAACTTTTTTGTAAACTATACGAATAAAAGTGTATTTTCATCTAAAATTATTTGTTTTCAAAAAAATCGTTTATTTGCAATATTGAAATATATCTTGATATATGATGTTGATTTGTTTGAGCCAAGTTCTGCATTTCAGAAGTAAGATTGTGGAAGAGAGTGTTTAACAACAATGTATTTTTTTCTATAGTCCTTAAGCATCTAGCTTAAATTCAAATAGTGATTTTAATAGCCAATGGAATTTTCTATACCAAGATTTCAGTGATAAACACCGGACATGGTAGTTTTCAGATCCTAGAAACTATTTTTTAACAATGCTATTTTAGAGAGAAAAAAATGAGAATCGCTGTAATCTTTACAACCTCCCCTTAAAAAGTTAAAAGTATCATAAAAATCGAAAAAAAGGCGTTTTTTTTTTATAGTTTTTGTGGTACTTTTAAGGGCAGGTCGTAGAAAATGTGATAATCCTTCATTTTGTACTCGTTAAAATAGCATTGTTAAAAAATAGTTTCTAGGATCTGAAAACTACCATGTCCGGTGTTCATCACTGAAATCTTGGTATAGAAAATTCCATTGGCTATTAAAATCACTGTTTGGATTTAAGCTATGTGCTTAACATTATAGAAAAAAAATACATTGTTATTAAACTTTTTCCTACTATTTTAACGCAATGAAGGACTTCCCTCGTTAGAAGTTCTTTTCAATTTATTTGTATAGAAAAATTTGCTTTTATTTTATCTACATATTCCAAGTGCTATTTTAAGCATAAGCATTAAAAAGTAATGCAATGGCTTAAGGAATTCATATCAAGTAAAAGCGAACATAGAATTTCCATTTCTATTTGTTAATTTCCTAATACGTATAGAGTGCCAATCGAAATAACAAGTTCATCAATTTCAATTCGACTATTTGTACAGCAGATGTTTTTCTATTCGCACGAGTAACCTGTCTTTTTCATTTTAGCAAGAATGTGAAGTTTCTCTTTTTTTTCCTTCCTTCCTTCTTCTAATATTCGATTGATATTATCCCGTCTAATTTCGTTTTCCTTCTCCGAACATAGCAGTCGAGGAAAGAAGAAAAAAGAAACGAACGATCGGACAAGCGAGCGTTGTTCATTGTTTTCTTTCCAACAAACAAATTCGACTACGTTGAGACAACATTTTCTTAGGAATGGTCACGAAACGGTAAGAAATTTTAATTGATTATTGTTGTTTTTTTGTAAATTAAATTTTTTTTTTCTTTAGACAAAATTTTAGTCAAAATAGTTTTACTGAAGATGAGTTAGATTCACCAATTATTAAAAAAATATTATCATCAAGAAAAAAATCTTATAAAAAATGGACTAAAGAAGAGGTGTAATATTGAAGAAAGAAACAAAAAGAGATATGTTAATTCTTTAACTTTTTTTTTTTAATAGGATGATCGTTTACGAGAATTTATTTTATCTCATGATGGTTTAAAAGATTGGTCAAGTATATCAAAATATGTTGGTAATGATCGTACAGATGCTCAATGTCAACATCGTTGGGAACGTTTTCTTGATCCATCTATAACAAAAGGACCATGGACTGATGAAGAAGATAAAAAAGTTATTGAACTTGTACGTGATTATGGTGCAAAACATTGGAGTTTAATTGCTAAAGAATTAAAAGGACGTGTTGGAAAACAATGTCGTGAAAGGTAGTTTTATTTGAATGAGAAAAAAAAACGAAAAGTGCAAAAAATTTATTTTAGATGGCATAATCATCTTAATCCATTAATAAATAAAAATCCATGGACAAATGATGAAAATCTTCGTTTATTTATATTACATCAACATTTTGGTAATAAATGGGCTGAAATAGCAAAATATTTTAATGGACGATCAGATAATTCAATTAAAAATCATTGGAATTCTTCAATGAAAAAAAAATTTCATTTAGAAATTGAAAATTTAAAAAAACAAGGACTTGATTGGACAGCATTGTAAATATAACAATTAAATTAAATCTTTTTTTTTCTTATCTTCAAGTTTTTTTTTTCTCTTCAGAATTCCATCTGATTTTTCATGGCCAAACCTTGATCAATCAATTTCAATAAATATTAATCGTTCATCTCGAATTCCATTAAGTACAATAACAAATCAAACATTACAAATACATTCTTCAAATATGAAAAAACCTTTAATAGAAAATATCTTATCTCCTTTATCAAACATTAAAACAGAAAATCATATATCAATTGTGAACAGTAATAATAATCATCATCAATTATATTCAACAACTAATCAAAATAATTTTAATATTATATCAACAATCTATCCCGAACAATTACAGGTGAATTGAGATTTTCCATACTTATACATGTTAAGAAAATGAGACGCTATCGGTAGTAGGATAGAATATTGCATAGGTACCAGATCTGTAAGTTGCATTCAATGTCTTATCCAGATTTTCTCTTATCGAGAGGACGAACACAGTAGAAGAATGACAAACTCCGGAAGGACCAGATCGATCTCTTGTCCTTCACGTTGGATAAAACATTGGTTATATTACTGTAACACATCGCTGATAGTTTAACAGAACTAATGATAGAGCACTAGTGCTCCTCTTGTTTTGAGGAGGCATTCTCGTTACGTGTATTGTGTAATTCAAGAATGCGTGGTGTCAATAGAGAAGCTAGTGTTCTGGCTCTGTCGCTAAAGAACAAAGTTTGTGTCTCAACAAATCGTTACTTTTCACAGTCGTATCTAAGTATAGGCGCGGCTACCCGATCCGTGAGTTGCAAGATATTCTTTTCGTAAACTATTCTATGCACAAAACTTAGTGAATTCGATGCGAATTTATTTTGTTTTTACATATCGATGATTCGTAGATTCTGTAATTTGGTTTATGATAAATAAAGTCTTTTAGAATGCTTAAAAGTTTTGTCTGTCGATAAACATAACTTATCCAATAGAACTGAAGAATATCATTTTATATAACATAAGTGAACAAATTCTGTTTGTCGTTCATTGTCATTCTTCGGAGATCTAGTGAACTTCGAAATCATATGAACATACCAAGAAGAAAATAATGCGAGACTTCAGTCTTGAAATCTGTTGTTTCCCACTCGGAATATACTAATTAAAGTTCCAATTTTGCGAGAAATTAATTAATTAAGAAAAAGTCTTCTGTTGTAGAAAGGAGTTTATGTAACAGATAACATAAACAGTAAACAAAACCAAACTTTGTACTAAATTTTAGTCTATGCCATCTCCTTCTCAAATCTCTACCGATCTTCTTCAACATCATTCTTCTCAAGAAGTCGAAAATTTACTCTTTTGTTCTCAACCATCACCAATTAAACAATTACCAATGTTATCATCTTGTGCTAATTATACACCTTCAAGTCAAAATTCTCAATCGAATCAACATCATCTATCATTATTTCATTCGTATTCATCTAATGATTATTATTCATCACATCCACCTTCAAGATCATCATCATTACCTGTATTTACTTGTTCATCATCACCACATCTATCTTTATTATCAACAGATATAAATTTATTTTC